TTTCCTATCCAGCTCCCTGCTAATACACCTGGGAAGCAGCATGGGATGGTCCAAGTGCTTGGGCCCTTGCACCCACATGGGAGACCTGGAGGAACTTCAGGCTCCTGGCTTCAGTCTGACACAGCCCCAGCCATTGAGGCCACTTAGGGAGCAAACCAGTGGATGGAAGATCCCTCTCTCTCTCTGTAACTTTGCCTTTCAAATAAATAAAAAATTACAAAATCTTAAAAAAATAAACAAAAAGATACTCTTTCCTACTTGAATATTTTCTCTTGATGATTCTGTACAACTCTTTAAAAAAGAAGACAAAATTTTGATAAGGGAAGCATTATCTTCCTAGATTATCATTAAAAATGTATTAAACAACTAAAAGTCTACTTAAAATCCTCCACAGTAGAAAGTAAAATAAAAAAGCTGAAATGAAAAAAAAATTTTTTTTTGACAGGCAGAGTGGATAGTGAGAGAGAGAGACAGAGAGAAAGGTCTTCCTTTTGCCGTTGGTTCACCCTCCAATGGCTGCTACGGCTGGCGTGCTGCGGCCGGCACACTGTGGTGATCTGATGGCAGGAGCCAGGTACTTATCCTGGTCTCCCATGGGGTGCAGGGCCCATGCACTTGGGCCGTCCTCCCACTGCACTCCCTGGCCACAGCAGAGAGCTGGCCTGGAAGAGGGGCAACCGGGACAGAATCTGGTGCCCCGACCAGGACTAGAACTCAGTGTGCCAGCGCCGCAAGGCTGAGGATTAGCCTATTGAGCCATGGCGCCAGCCTGAAATCAAAAATTTTTTAATTGAAGACATTTTAAAGAAACTTCCAAATTCCTGTTCACTACAGGCATGTTTCACTCAACCTCTACTTGTGTATTTATAGTAAGGATGCACACCAATTCACAAGACCTCATTTTCAGATATTTTATAATGATAGAAAATATTTGCTCATATCGACTTCAATACCACTTCCCTAAAAACCTAACTATTGATTATAGTCTGTCTCTCTGAAAACAATAAAAAGGACTTTTTCCTCTGGCATATTGTTCTGTGGGACATATGCAAACAACTATTCTGTTTTTTTTATCTCCTCCTTTCCAGATATACATTTTTAGCTACTTAAAAATTATTTCTGTCTATCCATTCTTTGTCTACATGATCCTGAGCTAACCTCACTAAATGCTGATTAATAGTGAGGACAGGAAGACTAACCCAAGGAGTCCACAATGAGAGCTCAAGTTTTAGTCATTCACAAAGTTATGATGGTGAGTTTATAAATCCACAAGTTTCTTAGTTACACTAACTACTCTAGATTGACAGCTAATGAGATTTCTAAGTGTATGGGTGGGGGAATGAATGTAGTCAAACTGTGGATCAATAATTTCTGTATGACTGAGTTTCCTATTACAGATGATATTTTAAGAATCCACGAGAGTATTTCAGGCATGGAAAGCCAAGACACTCTAACAAAAAACAAACAAACAAACAAACAAACAAAAAAGACATAAATGAAAGATCTCTGTGAGTGAGATCCCAGCGGAAAGAACAGGCCATCAAAGAAGGACGTACCTTTCTCTGAAGGGAGGAGAGAACTTCCACTTTGACTATTACCTGGTCTAAATAAGATTGGAGTTGGCGAACTCAAGAGGCTTCCAAAGCCTTGGCAACTCATGACAAGAGCCTCGGGTGATTACTGATGCCATAAACAAGAGTGTCAATTGTTAAATTAACAAGAGTCACTGTGCACTTACTCCCCATGTAGGATCTCTGGCCTTAATGTGTTGTACTATGTGAATTAATGGTATAAGTAGTACTCAAACAGTACTTTATACTTTGTGCTTCTGTGTGGGTGCAAACTGTTGAAATCTTTACTTAGTATATACTAAATCGATCTTCTGTATATAAAGATAATTGAAAAAGAATCTTGATGTGAATGGGATGGGAGAGGGAGTGGGAGATGGGATGGTTGTGGGTGGGAGGGAGGTTTGGGGGGAAAAAGCCGCTGTAATCCAAAAGTTGTACTTTGGAAATTTATATTTATTAAATAAAAGTTTAAAAAACCCAAAACAAACAAACAAAAGAATATTTTTGGGACTGTAAATATGTACAAAGCAAAGGGCTTCAAGTAGGAGTCTGTTTACAGATTCATCTCCTGGCAGGAACAATGGAAACCATTTTACTGCCCAACCTTTAGTGCTTTGCCCTTCTGCCTCCACTGATGGTGACTTTCTCCAGTACTACCATCCAAATAGGAAAAAAGAACAAAACCCTTCCAACTCAACAGCTACAGATTTTTTTTGAGAAATTGTCACTATTTAGTAAATATTCTGATAATTTATGAAACTTTTAAATAAAATCAAATATTTGTTGCTTTCTTATGAATTTTATCAGTATTCAGCCATATTGCTTTGTGGTCGTTTTACTCTCATTATACTTTTACCTCTCTCATAAAAACTACATATATAACATTAAATTGGATTCAAATACATTTTATCATTGAGAATCCATAAAAGTTATATGCAGTCCCTAATTAAAACATGGTTATCCATATTTGACCCAGGATACAACTCAGGATTCAGAAAGCTAAATTATTTTAGAGGCAGATCTATTCAATATGTTGTGACCCATCTGAGATGTGAATCCAAGATGACAAGTATCTTAGTGTAAACCTATGTTGGGTTCTCCCCGTTCTTCAGTCCATCATCCCACAGCACTGAGGAGGTAGGTCTGTCAGGGATCTGTATACAGGAAAGACACAGAAGCTTCCTGGGAAAGCATTTTGTATAAAGGAAAAGAAAAACAGATGGGCATATAGGATAACAGGAGGAAGAGAATTACAGGTAGTACAACAGAAGAACAGTATGGTGTCTCTCATTCAGATTATTCTCTTTGGGCAATGCCCTATAGAGCCAGGTGATTTTGCAGAAAGACAAAGAGAGGAAGTTACTATTGGGAATCATTTAGCCATTAGTGTGGGTTTGCAATGAGTACTATTCATGTTTAACTCTCAATGTTGTCCTTTTACTGGCTGCATAGTGTAGATAAAGTTACTAAAGCATTCCAAAGCTCTAAAACTATGTTTCCATGCCTATTAAACAGGGAAAATAATATCTACTCTATTATGCTAGTGAAAGATGAACAGGGTAACATTTGTGAAACACTCAGGAGAATTTCTAGCATAAAGTAATACAATTTTCCTTCACTTTCCCACAACCATTGAAATATAACATTGAAATTATATATATATATACACACACCACACATACATACATAAAGTAGAACATGAACACACAAAGACATGGAACTAAAATACAAAAATGAAAATCATTTATTTCTCAGCATGAACTGCAACAAATTTAAGAAACTGACATTAGCCATTTACAATACCTAAAAAAGTGACTATCCTAGGAATTTAACCATATCAATGCAACCTTTTTTAAAATTATTAACTAAACAAGAATGGGTACGCTTTAATTTTTTTTAAGATTAGAAAACAAATAATAACTGAAAGACGCCAACCAGTTCTCTAAAGTGGATGTCTAAAGATGTTCAATCAAAATTCTTGGAAAATTGTCCTTGTTTGATTAGAGAAATGGGCAGGAGATTGTGGTGGAGATAGACTACCTGGTGAAGATTTACTGGGCAACTTTCTGCTAAGGCTTTTGCTAATTTTCTCAAGACATTGACCTAAAAAGTAAGTATTTTTGTTCTTTGGTCTTCCAGAATGTCAGGAAGCTAAATGCCTTGGTCATCCCACAAATTATTGAAAATCTTTGCTCATGACTAGTCCACTTTTGGTTTGACTGGAGCACTTTCATCTCTTGGTAACTATTGCTTTGATCATGCTTTGTGTTGAGGAGCATACTAATAAAGCCATGTTTCATATCCTGTTAACGATTCTTCCCCATAAATTGAATGTTTGTTCTTGCTTCAGTTTTTAGAAGATTTCATGTTGCTCCTACAGGGGCTCTTTTCAAACCAAATTCTTACTCTTCGTAATGCCTCAAACCAGATCCAGTTTAAATATGTTAGAATCAGTTAGTAGAAATGTAGTTTTGGTGCACAAATTTTCAAATGCATGTATAATGTTTCATAATATACATTTTCCATGAACATTTGAAGACCCTTTGCATGTTTGCCCCTTATAAAGAGTTTATAATACCAAAATATAATCTGCTTATTTTAATTCTAGAACTCACATATTGTATCAGTTAATAGACATCTCTCATACTCTGCTCTTTCTGTAATTTACTAAAATACATATCTGATATATATTTCAATATATATATATATACACTTGCTATAATCACCATTCTTCAGATGTATTAGAACACATTTCTTTTAATGATATAAATGTTTATTAACATAGGACCTGCTTTTCTCCCCCCATTGGTTTTATTATGTGTCACTAAAAATCAACAATTCACTCTCTTTTTCCTAAAAATAGTCTCATGATAAAGTCAACTACTTAACTTCACTTTCTGTACTTTTTTCCCCTAAAGTTACCTTAAATATTGTTTGTAGTAAAAGCCAAATGGCTAACTAAACAAAGCTGAATGGAAATTGAAGCTATTGTCTTTTAGATTTGTATTTAAATTACAGGGAAATAAGTAAGTGGAAACTCTCTCCATCATCAATATCAGTTGCTAGGCTTATAAAATATTTTGTGTGTGCTATAACCATGGAAGCACAATAGATTTCTGTTTCCCTCCCTCTTCTCTTCCATCTTGATCTCTCTGCATCCTTAGTGAGCAAACACATGTTCACACTGGAATGCATGTGATCAGTACTAAACACATCAACTACAACCTTTATTTTAAAGCTTTATATTTACTATAGGTTGATCAAAAAAGATCCAATATGACTTTTTAAAAGACTCAATATTTGAAATTGGAAAATTCTGGCTTAGAACTTCTATTTTTGAAGCCACAATAGCATTTCATGAAGATGTGGCCTGGTTCAAATACTGAATAAGATTTTCTCTCTCAGCCGTCTTTTTAAGATCAGCAAAGACAATTTTAGTTCCAGGGATATATTTCTTTGGGTTCTCCAAATATTCTATCAGAGTATCTTCTCCCCAGGTAGTACCTTTTTTTGTTTGTTTGTTTGCATCAGAATAAGAGAATCCTCCTGCTTGTTCTGTTTTTTGGCCAGAGACCTCCAAAGATTTGGACCAGTCTTGTGTTTTCCACCTTTTTCTACTGTGTGGCACTGAGCACATTTCTCAATAAAGATCTTGCCTGCTTCAGCATCTCCCATTTTGTTCTTCAGAGGAACCACAGGGCCAGTAGCTCTGCCCTCCTCCTCCCCTGTGCCACGGCCAGGTGGGAGTCTGCACCCCAAGTTTGACGCTGGTGGTTATGCACCAAGGCCTCAACGATCCATGCAAGTCTGGTCAGCCATGTACTTCCCGTGGACACCGAAATGGAGAATACATTTCTTTATAAATCATCTATTCCAGTTACCTTTTGCAGAAGCTTGAACTTTTTGGTCAGTTTTTCCTGTCAAGTTCATATGTGTGTGAAACTAGCCTATATTTTTTCTTTTTCCCTTCCCTTTCACAGAATTTGATCAATATATAGCCTTAAGTTTAGAAATTTAAGTGATGTGACTTTAGGCATTTATATTACCAATCCCACAAATCCCAGAGAGAGCAAATTTCCCACCTTTCAGACTCCCTGTCTTCTCTCACCTTGATGTCTGTTTCCACAGCGTCCTCCTCAGGGCACCCTTGACCTCTGCATTCCTCAGGCTGTAGATCAGGGGGTTCAGCATAGGGTTGAAAAGGCTATAAAACAGGGAAAGGATCTTCTGCTGCTCCTCAGGGTGGCTGGATTTGGGGGCCATGTACATGACAATGGCACTGCCAAAGAAGAGTCCCACCACACAGAGGTGGGAGGAGCACGTGGAGAAGGCCTTTGTGCGGCCCTCCCTAGACTGGATCCTCAGGATAGCAACCAGGATGCGCGTGTAGGAGACCAGCACCAGGCACAGGGGCCCCACCAAGATGAACACAGAAGCAGCAAAGATGACCACTTGGTTGAGCGTTGTGTCAGCACAGGCCAGCTTGAGGACAGACAGGATTTCACAGAAGAAGTGGTTGATTTCATGAGGCCCGCAGAAGGGCAGCCTCAGGAGGAGAACCACATGGACCAGGGCCAAGATGCAGCCACAGGCCCAGGAAGTCACAGTCAGGGTGATGCAGATTCTCCAGCTCATCATGGCAAAATATTGCAAGGGGTGGCAGATGGCCACATAGCGATCATAGGACATCACCACCAGAAGGAGACACTCGGTGTGAGCAAAGGCCATGTACAAGAAGGTCTGCATAATGCACGAGGCAAAGGAGATTGTTTTTCCCTTGCTTAGAAAGTTTGCCAGCATCTTGGGGACATTGTTGGAAGCATATGAAATATCCACCACGGCCAGGTGTGACAGGAAAAAATACATGGGGGTATGTAGTTTGGAGTCTAGACAGATGAGCTCCAGGATGACTCCATTCCCCAGCAGAGTGAAGGCATAGAAAAGGGAGAAGAGGCTGCAGAGGAATATCTGAATCTTTGGGCTGAGTGAAAATCCCAAGAGAGTGAATTCTGTGACTGATGTTTGATTTTCTGTCATGCCCTCTCCACGGCGGCAGTGAGATGTGTGCTGAGGAGCAAAGAAGGGGCTGGATTAGTCATTAAATGAAAGGAGAGGGTGTATGAGGGTATGAGGTGCACTGTGTTGACTCATCAGCCACCTTTTTCAGCCATTTAATGTGGAAAGAAAATTCAGTTCAGGTACCTAGTGTAAGTGAACAGGGTGTCACAGAATATTTCCATCACTATGGAATTATGGTTTATTTTTTAATTTGAGGATCCACATTTTTACTATCATGATTGCAGCCACAGAATCAATTATTTTCTTGAGTGACTAGCCATTTTACTTTTGAGAGAAGACCATAGTCATCCTGTCATCCTTTTCTCTCATTTATTTAGTTTTCACATTTTATTACCACTTTCTCTTTATCATTTTATTTTCTCTCTTTTCACCACATCTGCAGAGTACACTGCACATAGCAGGAACTCAACAAATGATCCTAGAGGAGATATATGAAGGAAGAATGGAAGGAATGAGTTTTTAAATGCAATTTTATAAAGGTTTGTTTCCTTCTCTGTTTACTATTGTTAGGGACTCAGCAAGTGAAGATTTAAGATTTTACTTCCTGAGGCTACCCAGAAAATATGACTATTTTATACATCTAGACATGAGCGAAGGGTGATGTCACTGATCTGGCCTGCATTCATACAGGTAATTTCTGATAGATGATCAGGGCAAGTGGCTTGCCTTGTAAATATTTAACAGTGTAACATTCTCACTGCCCTCCCATTCCAACTCCTTGCAGAGCTGCTTGGTAAAGTGACTCACAGCATTTGGATGGTGTCCAGTTAAGTGCTGAATGGATGGGTGGATGAATAGATAAATTAGAAATGATATCCAAAGGCATGCCACAGATTTCAATAAAGTCTTTTGACTCCTTAATTTTCTTTGCTTCCATTTCACTAACCATATGACCACAGGGACTAGAGAAAGGGAAAACCTAGATGTTCACTGATGCAGATACATATTAAAGTCAATTTATCATTTACCACATGAGGCCTATAAATCCATTCCTGCAAATGCCAACCCTATCCTAAGCCCTGAGAACTGTCTTTCCATAAGTTGACCCTGTTTACTGATCTCAGGAACTCTTTCTTCCTCCAGACCCCAGCTTCTCTAAACTGCCACAAAAATTTCCAAAAACCAGTTACTCACTGTGTTATCACGAATGCTCTTGCCTCAAAAATCTGATTAGATGTAGAGGGAACTGCAGTGAGTCAATGGAGCTTTTGCATGTCAGAGCTGATGATCTTGCTTCACCCAGCAGCCGCTGGAAGAGAGACTTTCCAGGTGCAGGAGCTGTCACTCTCTTAACACAGGCTAACAACAGGAATGGGGCCTGCCCACTGGGAATACCAGTACTATGGTTTCATGTCGAGGTCATTTCTACCCAAGTCCTCACAGATTGTCCCTGAAGGTCCCTGTGGGGACAAGAATACACAACTTTCACACTCCATATCTAGCAAGAGAACCCAAAGTTGTTTTTCTTTGTCTCCATTCCTCTGGCCCTGGGGAGGAACATTAGGAAGAAAAGGAGTTGGCAGATGATGACTTAATACCCAGCTGGATCCACACACATGAAACTCTTGCAGTAATAACAGCATAGACACCCCTGGGGACCATCTTGCAAATTACACTCCCCAGATATTTGGATGATTTGGGTTTACGAATCTTGGTCATACCCAAGATTAGCTAAGTGGAGCTTCTAGGAGGCAGAACACCTTCCTTACGAAATAATGGCACCAACATCTTCTAGATAATTCTAACTTGGTGTTGGTTGGTTAAGAAAAAGAACTGTTCAGCCAAACATTCTATGATGTAGGTGGCAAGATTCTGAGACCTTCCCACATAGTACTGAGATTTGATAGTAAGTAAGGAACAACAGAAACCAGAGTGAAATTGGTCTTGAAGAGGTATTGTAGAAGTCCTAGTGATTAGAGGGCAGTATTATCTAATTCAAACCTTCACTATGAATAAAGCATAGAATAAGGCATATATTCTATAAATAAAGCACAAACAGAGGAGTTCTGGGAGCATTTATTTAATTTTAATTTTAATTTTAATTAAATTGCAGCAAAAAGGTTTAACTTCACCAAATAGGAAGTTCAACAAAGAAGGAACAAAAATACCCTAGTTTAGTGGGAATATAGATAATGGCTTTAAATAATACATGAATACATATACAGTTTTTTTTGTCAATTAGTCATTCATATTTGCTTTCAATGGAGTAGAACCAATGATAATTTAACATCTCAATATTTGTTATGTGGTTACAAGTTAATATTTATGTTCATTTAGACTTTCAGCCATTTCCTCTCAACAGTTTATGCACAGGAATAATTTTATGCAGACTACAATGCAAATATTTATACATTACATTATTTTGTACTCAATTAGTTGTGGTGGAATGAAAAGGCCATGCCAAGATGGCTGCTGGCAAGGAGCATCAGTTACTCAGGAATGGCTTTGAAACCCACCTGGCAACGGAGCCTGCCTGGCAACAGGCTGTGAATGGATGGCTTTGAAACCCACATGGCCAACAGAGCCTGCCTGGCAACAGGCTGTGATTGGACGGTTTAGGAAACTGCTGGGTAACAGGCTGTGATTGGTTGGGGCATAGATTGCCCCTTGACCGATTGGCTGGTCTTAGCTATATAAGCTGTTGTACTAACTGAAATAAACAAATCTGCGGGCTGCTCGCCTCTGGCCCACTTTCACCTGACTCCCAGGGTCTGTGTGGTGACTCCATGTCTCTTGCCCCCACCACGCTCCTCCTCTCAGAAACGAATCCACTGCAACATTATTAAGAAATCAACTGCAACAATTAGTTACCACAGATTGGGTAAAAATATGGTATTTGTCTTTCTGGGACTAGTTAATTTCACTAAGTATAATGCTTTTTCAGTTTGCATACATACTGATGTGAAAGAAAGGATTTGATTTTTTTATGGCTGAGTTGTATTCCATAGTGTATACATACCATATTTTCATTATCCAGTCATCATTTGATGGACATCTGAGTTGATTCCATATCTTAGCTATTGTGAATTGAGCTGCTATAAATATTGGGGTACAGATAACTCTTTTGTATGCTGATTTTATTTCCTTTGGGTAAATTTCCAAGAGTGAGATGTCTGGGTCAAATGGTGGATTTATTTTCAGCTTTCAGAAGAACCTCCATATGGTCTCCCACCCTAGCTACACTAGTTTGTATTCTCACCAACAGTGGATTAGGGAACCTTTACTTGCACATCCTCACCAGAATTGACTGTTTTTGATTTCTGTATGAGAACCATTTTAACCGAGGTGAGCTAAAACCTCATGTGGTTTTGATGTGCATTTCTCTGATGGATAGGGTTCCTAAGCATCATTTCATATGTCTGTTGGCCATCTGAATTTCCCCTTTTGAAAAATGGCTGTGCTTTGCCCATTGGATTATTTTTGTTGTTGTTGTTGAGTTTCCGAGATCTTTATAGATTCTGGGTATTAATCCTTCATCAGTTTCATAATTTGCAAATATTTTCTCCTATTCTGTCAGCTATCCCCTCACTTTGTTAGGTGATTCCTTTGCAGTGCAAAAGCTTCTTAGCTTGGTATAATCCCATTTTTCTCTTTTTGCTTTGATTGCCTGTGCATCTGGGGTCTATTCCAAGAAGCCTTGCCTATGCCAATGGTTTGCAGAGTTTCCTCAATGTTCTCCACTAGCAGTTTAATGAGATCATGTCATAGATTTAGATCCTTGATCTACTGTGAGTTGGTATAAAGTAGAGGTCTCAAAATTCTGGAGGTGGAGATCCAATTTTCCCAACACCATTTGTCAAAGAGGCTGTCTTTCATCCAGGGATTAAGTTTGGCTTTGTTGTCAAAGATTAGTTGGATGTAGATGCATAGATTGATTGGTGAGTCTATTCTGTTACATTGGTTTACATGTCTATTTCTGTGCCAGTACAGGGATATTTTGACTATAACTGCCCTGTAGTATGTCTTATAATCTGGTATTGTGATGCCTCTGGCTTTGTTTTTGTTGTATAAGATTGCTTTAGTTATCCAGGGTCTCTTTCGTTTCCATATGAATTTTAGCCTTGTTTTTTTCTAGATATGAGAAGAATGTCCTTGTTATTTTGATTGGGATTGTACTGAATCTGTAAACTGCTCTTTGTTGTTGGACATTTTGATGATAGTAATTCTTCTAATACACAAACATGGGAGATTTTTTCTATTTTTGTGTCTTCTATTTCTTTCTTCAAAGTTTTGTAATTTTCATCATAGACATCTTTCATATCCTTGGTTAAATTTGTTCCAAGGTATTTGATCTTCAATTGTAGTTATTTTGAATGGGGTTTATCTTAGAAGTTCTATCTCAGCTATGGCACTGTCTGTGTATACAAAGGCTACTGATTTTTGTGTGTAGATTTTATATCCTACCACTTTACCAAACTCTTGTAGGAGTTCCAATAGTCACTTAGTGGAGTCTTTTGGATCCCCTATATATAGAATCATGTCATCTGCAAATAGGGACAGCTTGATTTCCTCCTTTCCAATTTGTATCCCTTTGATTTCTTTTTCTTGCCTCATGGCTCTGGCTGAATCTTCCAGGAGTATATTAAAGAGCAGTAGTGAGAATGGACATCCTTGTCTGGTTCCGTATCTTAGTGGAAATGCTTCCAAATCTCCCCCATTCAATTATATGCTGGCTGTGTGTTTGTTGTACATTTCCTTTATTGTGCTGAGGAATATTTCTTCTACACCCAGTTTGCTTAAGGTTTTTTTTTTTATCATGAAAAGATGTTCTTGTATTTTATCAAATGCTTCCTCTGCATCTAGTGAGATAATCATATGGTTTTTATTCATCAATTTGTTACCGTGGTGTATTACATTTGTTGCTTTGCATATGCTGAACCATTCTGGAAAACCAGGGAAAAATCCCACTTGGTCTGGGTGAATGATCTTTCTGATGTGCTGTTGGATTCAATTATCTAGTATTGTTGAGGATTTCTGCATCTATCTTATTCAGGGATATTGATCCATAGCTGTATTTCTTTGTTGTATTTTCTTCTGGTTTTGAAATTAAGGTGATGCTGATCTCAAGAAAGAGTTTGGGAGGATTCCCTCTCTTTCAATTGTTTTCAATAGTTTGGGAAAATTTGGAATTAGTGCTTTAAAAGACTGGTAGAATTCTTCAGTGAAGCCATCTAGTTCTGTGCTTTTCTTTGTTAAGAGGGTCTTTATTAATGATGCAATCTCTGTCTTGATTATTATTAAGTTTAGGTTTTCAGTGCCTTCCATGGAAAAATTTTGTGACTGTCTCTTTTATGTGACTGCCAGGCTTACTTGTGTGTGTGTGTGTGTGTGTGTGTGTGTGTGTAGAGTATAGGTAGGGATGTTGGGAGGAGTTGGGCAAAATTTTGGAGAGGAACATCCAGAACAAATTTATCAGTGCACATTTGGTTCCTTATGAGACAAAGATGCAAGTTGTTAACATGTGAGGCATGTGGTTCATGCTTAACAGAGGGAAGGAGCTATGTCTATGTTTTTAGCTCACAGACTATCAAGGATTTCTGTCCCGGTAGCTCCTCTTCCAGTCCAGCTCTCTGCTGTGGCCCAGGAAGGTAGTGGGGGATGGCCCAAGTACTTGGGCCCTGCACCTGCATGGCAGACCAGGAGGAAGCACCTGGCTCCTGGCTTCGGATTGGCACAGTGCGCCAGACGTAGTGGCCATTTTGGGAGTAAACCAATGGAAGGAACACCTTTCTCTCTCTCACTGTCTAACTCTGCCTGTCTAAAAAAAAAAGAGGAACATTGCCATGGGTAGAATAATAAAACAAAAAGAATAACAGAAGCAACTTTGTGTGATGGTTGTGTAAGTAATGCTGTAGCTCTAAGATATCCAATCAGAAGATACATAACTGAATATGTGTTAGGAAACTTACAGTTGTTTGTGCTTGGGTAGATAAGAAAACACCCTGCTTTGTTCAGGTCCCAGAATTTGATACAAGACTCTCCTTTGGCTCAATCGGACTTGCCCCAAATGGTAGTTAGAAACATACCAGGGGATTCCAATTCAATCCCATCAAGGTGGCATGTACCAATGCCATCTCACTAGTCCAAGTGATCAATTTCTGTTCACAACTGATCATGATGATAGGACTAAGAGCCAAAGGGAGCACATAAACAAGACTAATGTCTGCAAATACTAACTGATAGAATAAAAAAGGGAGAGAATGATCCAACATGGGAAGCGGTACACACAGCAGACTCATAGAATGGCAGATGTCCTAAACAGCACTCTGGCCTCAGAATCAGCCCCTAAGGCATTCGGATCTGGCTGAAAAGCCCATGAGAGTATTTCAGGCATGGAAAGCAAAGACACTCTGCCAAAAAAAAAATGAACAAATGAAAGATCCCCGTGAGTTAGATCCCA